AGCTGGTCCTCCTCCTCCTCCCCCCTCCGTGGTGGGGCCGGCGGTCGGTCCGGGACGTTTGGGTCCGCGTCCTCCTCCTCCTCCTCCCAGCTCGGACGCCGGATCCGTGGAGGCCAGGGCCGGGACTGAGAGGACTATGATGCCCTCTATCGCCGAGGACCCCGGGAGCGACCCGGGAAGCGGCCCGGGGGGTTCGCCAGAGCTGACCCCTGCCGCTCCCTCTCGGCAACCCACTCCGGGAGCTGGCGCCGACGGGGACCCCGAGGGACCTTCTTCCACCTCTCCTAACCCGTCTCCCTCTGCTCCTCTTCCGGCTCCTACCTTTCCTCCTCTTCCTCCCTCTGAGGAGTCCTCAGCTCGGCCCGCTGAGGAGAGACCAGGAGGCGGGCGTCCCTCCAGCCAGCCTCCTCGGCCTAGGCGGCTGGTGCAGCCGGACGACGTGCCGGGATGCATTCTGCGGGCCCGGCAGGATACGGGTGCTGGCTCGTCCACTCGGGCGATCTCGAGCCCGCCCGAGGTCAAGAGGGCGCGGATCGAAGAACCGGCCAGGGTCCCGGGGCCCCCTCTGGACCCTTCCTCCTCCTCTGCTCCCTCTCCTCCCGAGGCTCCTCCTCACCTTCCTCCACCGGGTTCAGGGACCGGGCCCGACGAGCGTGGGCCTATCACGCCCGGCGTCGAGCCCCGGCAGTCCGTGGCGGACCTCGTCCGCGACTTCGACGCGGGGAGGCACAGGCCCCGGAGTCGCTCCCCTCGGGAGTACTTGGAGGACGGGCCGTCCTCTGCGACCGAGGACTTCTTCCTCACCTTCCCCTCCTCCTCCGGTGGTGGTGGTGGTGATGAGGATGACGGTGTCCGGGCCTGGCCAGTGAGTGAGTGGTGCGGCCTCGTGGAGTCGAGCGGCTGGGCTATGGCAGCCAGTCGAGGGGGGGAAGTTAGTTTGAAGACCCTGACCCTCTCGGAGAGAGGGCGGTTTGTTCTGTCCGACCGCAAGGAGTGGGAGGCCATGATGGGCACCGGAGCTGTCGAAGTCATCCCTCCCGCCAAGGCGGACATCGTGAGGAAGTCTCAGCCAGACCGCATCATCACGAGCCGGATGGTCCGACGCTGGAAGCCTGTAGAAGGCACTGGATCGGAGCCCACGGCCAAATCTAGATGGTGTGTCCATGGGCACCGAGACCCAGACTCAGGTTCGCTCCAGGTCTATGCCCCCACGCCCCAAACCTCAAGCATCATGATGTTCACCCAGGTGCTCATGAATTTGGGCCTCCGGGCGGACATCGCGGATGTCAAGAACGCGTTCTGCCAGTCCGACCCCATGACTAGATCCCAAGGTCTCGTGTATGTCGAGCCCTGCGAGGGCATCGAGCTGCCGAGAGGTTCTCTGATATTGTTGCGTGTTAATGTTTATGGCCTTGATGACGCGCCCGTGGCGTGGAGACGCACAGTAGTCAAGTTCCTGGGTCAACATGCTTTTCAGAAGTCGTTGTTGGAGCCCTGCTGGTGGATCCGGTACGGATCCCGAGGCGAGATTCTCAACATGATCCTCCTAGAGGTCGATGACTTCTTCATAGGCAGCAGCACCCAGGCTACCCGGACCTGGCTCAGAGGACTTCTGGAGACTCGTTTTAAATTTGGCAAGTACCGTGATTGTCATGCTGGACCCGTGGAGTTCGCAGGCAGACGTATCACAATCAGCTCCCAGAAGGCAACGCTGGACCAAGAGAAGTACATCTTGGAAGAAGTGAGGCCTCTCAGCATGACTCGCGGGCGATTGTCGTCCAAGCACAGCCCCCTGGACCAGGCAGAATTTCGAGCGTTGAGGTCGCTAGTGTACAAATTCAACTGGGTAGGTAGAGAGTGCCGACCAGAAGCCGCTGGAGTAGCAAGCATACTCGCTAGCAGACTCAAGGCACCGACGACCGGCGACGTGATGTTGGCCAACAAACTGGTGAGACATCTTCGGGCCACGGCCTCTAGGGGCCTCACGGTCTGGAAGCTCGATCCAGAGCGAATGGCGTTCATATCGTTCTCAGATGCCGGTGGGGTCGGTGCCTTCGACGACATGGTGGACGAACGTGGTCTACCTGAGGACCCCACGCAAGGCGCGTGGATGGTCCTAGCTGCCGATCGCAGTGTCCTGGACAACTGCTCAGTACGTGCATCGGTGTTGGGCTGGCGCAGCTCGAAGTTGAGACGAAAGGTTCCCTCAACACTCGCCGGGGAGACCCAGGCACTCTCCGCGGCGGTGGCGGAGGTTGAATACCTTCAGATCCTGTACCGAGACGTCATGTTCCAGGATGTCGACATTCAGGACCACGTGAGGTGCTCCAGTCCTTTCACTACTGTCTTGCGTAGCAACTGCAGGCTAGGTTCTCGTGAACAACAAGTGCATGTTGTTGACGCAAAGTCAATATATGATACCATGCTCAAAGACGGGAACGCCTCGGCCCGAGACAGGCGGACCGCGATCGACTTGGCAATCATATGTGAGGCCCTAGAACGGGCCCAAGGGAAGGTCCGCTGGATTCCACACGGCAGAATGCCAGTGGACCAGCTCACCAAGGACGACGTTTCTAAGGGCAACGCCGCCCTCTTCGACCTCATGACAAGTGGCCGACTTGTGTTGGTGGACGAGGGCGCCGAGGTTGAACGCCGCCGGGCGCAGCCCGGGCTGAAGAGCCGCACACAGGCAGCGTCTCGTAAGGCCCTGGACGAGAGTGTGATGATCTCGTGGAAGGACTTCCAGGACCAGGTCCGGGCTGGTGGTGGTGGTGGTGGTGGTACCTCCTCCCCTCCTTGCTCCTCTCATCCATCCTGTTTCCATGCTTTCCAATAATATTGCGCTCATTCCGCTTCTCCTTAGTCCCTTTTCCCTCTCTCTCTGGGCACCGGCAGACAGGCTTGATGCTGTCTGCTCTCCGCCGGTCACAGGGACCGGGCGGTTCGAGGGTACAAAACCTGGGAGAAAGTTGGACCTGTGTAGCAGGTCAGCTGATTTTATCGAACAGGTTTTGTTTTAGGGTTCTTAGCATGTGTCTGACCGTATCGACACGGTGGCTCAAGGGAAAAGTACTTACTGCCACTGCTGCTGCCACAACGCTCTGCTTTGCGAGCGGATGGCGTGTCGCTCCGCTCTGGGGGCGGGAGGCAGGGAAAGGCTCGAGACGCTGGCGCTCGGGGAGCGGGTAGTGGATAGCGTGTCGCACCGAAGCGTGGTGAGCCAGAACCGGCGGCGCGACGCGCTGTCCAAAAGCTCCCAACCGCATCGTTGCAGGAAGGCCGCGCATGACCATTTCCGCCTCTCAGGGACCGTGCCTTTTCCCACTCCATCAGTCCCACCCACTCCTCCAGCCTCAGCAGTGCAGTCTGCCCCCATCCAGAGACCTCTCGCCGAACCGCGTCAGCCATCGGAGTGCTCTGTCCAGATCGCGCACCTCCCCACTCCAAAGCCCCACAAACACCGTTCGCCCCTCCAGATAGACCGCGCCAGAATGTGGCAGGCATCAGAGCCCCAGCCATCGGAAACACGTGCATCTATCAGGGATAGGGCCGTTCCCACTCCACTGCCGCTTGCCCAATCCAGGGAGACCGCACCAGACTGGGCCCGCCATCGGAGCACCCTGATATTCATCGGGGGGCATGCCCTCCTCACTGGACCAGTCCCAGCAGTACCGCCTTCACCTCCAGGAAGGCTGCGCAAGACCGCGGCAGGCATTGGAGCCCCCTGTCAGTTATCAAGCACCGCGCCCTCCCCTCTCCGCCCAGTCCTCCCACCGGTGCCGTTTGTCCATCCAAGGCAGAGGAAGATAAGAGCCCGGAACAAGGATCCTCTTCGACCTCCCGCCCTTGGTCTTTAGCCCTCCTCGAGCGCGCGACCCAATCAGAATGGCCCGAAACCTGAGCTCCTCCTGAGCCGAAAGTGGTCGTTAGTTTAGCGTCCTGACTGTAAGGGGTTCCTTGCTTCTCCCCAGATGATTACTGTAAAAGTGTTGGCCAGGTTGCCCATCATTTGCCATTTCGAGCCCGGGACGGCTTCAGAACAGCGGGCCAGCGGACAACCACGAGACAACCACAAGACAACCACAGGTCAACTGCAGGACAATCTGGTGGGCACGCGGTGGCAGGGGGGGGGAACAAAGTGACAAGATGTGCGCCTTGCCATGGGAGAACTTCGCGCAACTTCGCCTCGCCCGCACGCGCGACACGAACCGAAACCGAACCGCACTGACTGCGCATCCGAACGAGCAGACGGCCACCCCAGTGTCGAGCACGCAGCGAGTTTGTAGAGGCAGGTCGTGGCGGCGGCCCAAGTGGCTGATTTGCAGCGGGCATTTTGACTGTATATGCAATTGGAGGGATGGTGTGCTTCCAATCATTTGACAAAGAATTTGGGCGTTGAGAGCCCAATGGAGCCCAATGGACCGCCCTGCCCTGGACGGCGGCCGATTACCCGTACTCTTCTTCATCCGCAATTTGCAAATGAGATGTGCACACGTCGTCTCGCTGGTTTGGAGACCGACGCCCTACTTGCCGTGACTTCGCATTGTCCCAACACTGCGTACTGTTCATTCAGAAAGATGTTCCGAGGTCAATCCACCAGGCAGCGGGTCCGCTGTGGGAGTGCAACCTCTTGCTGCACTGCTCCACGACAACTCCTCAACCGCATCCTGCTATCAACATCCCCCTCGCCGACTAAATTGCCAGCTTCAGTCGCAGCGATCACGGCACCGATGACCTGAGACTATCTCCCAAACCGAGCCCCGACCAAGCGGTCAGCAAACGTTTGTCACGCTTTCCTGACGTTGATCCCCCCTTCCGATGTGTCGTTACATCGTCCCTCCGAAGCGTATCCCGAAAGGTCCAATACAAACTTCGAGAACAATAGAACGGAGGCAACACTGTATCATCAGGAGGGGCAACAAAGAAGCACAGCTGCATCCGTTCTGAGCTTCGTGAGTGCACACTCGTCCGCACTCGCACGTGATGTCCAAGGCGATCAACCTGAACTCATTCCGACTGCATGCTCTTCATACTATGAGCACTCAGCATGCTTTGTACACGTGGTGCAATGCAGCAGCTCAATCATTTTCGCTCCGTATCCTCTCCACGATCTGTGCCTATACAGCGGCCGAACACCGCCACAAGAAACGAAGCATATGCTGGGCGAGGATGCGAAAGATAGTATGCTCACAGACAGCGGCTGCCAATTCCGCACGCGCTTAGGCGTGGGAGCGTCGGCAAGTGGCTGAAGCAATCGCTAGTTTCCCGCGATCCCCCACTTAATGATGATGAGATACCAGGTCAGAAATCAGGTCTAAGCCTGCGAATTCCTCTCAGAAGCACCCCCTGAGCCACTTTCAATCCTTCACCCTGCCGACCGTTCGCGACCACTGTGTTCCGGATGTTGCTTATAATTCAAGCATTGGTCGGGGCCGAATAGCTTCCGAATCGGTCGTGACCAATCGGTAGATCCGTGTCGCGACCGGTTTGGGCATTGGTCGTCATCGGTCGCAACCGACTTGGAGTGCCGATCGGTCGCTACCGATCGCGACCGACAAAAGTCCGGTATCCAAGGATCAGGCGGCGGTCATGGAGCCCGGGGCCCTGGGCCCCATCTGCCTGCAGCACCCCTCGAGCGGGTTCCATCCGAGAGGGCCCCAGGGCTCGACGCAGGGCACAGGTTTCTGATTTCTTTTATTTTTTTTGTTAAAAAAAAAAGAAAAAAAAAAAAAAAAACAAGGTGTCTGAATTCAAAAAACTGGTTCTTGAATTCAAAAACCAATTTTTTGAATTTTCTGAATTCAGAAAACCAATGTTTCGAATTCAGAAACGAGCCCATTGTGAGACGAGCAAGCTGCGACGCCAGGATCTCGACGGTGGCGGTTCTGGACAGATTCCCGCCTCGGGGGGGGGGGGGCGCGGCCCTCGGCAACCCTCCGCCCGAGGCAGGCTCCAGGAGGGCCCAGAGGAGAGGCCTCCCGCGTCGATTAGATGGTACAGTCAACACGCATGATAAGGATGGGCGATAAGGGTACAGCAGGGCCTTGGGAGGCCACGCCGACACTTTGCGACGAGGCGCGGCCAGCGAGAGTGGCCAAAGATGGGCCGAAGGGGTCAAGAATGCAAAGGTAACCCTGGAGAGTTGCTCGTCCTTACTATCCGTGTTGGCTGCAGGGCGATAGGACGACGTTGAGGACTCTCAAATGGGGTCCGATTCGACGGGGTCAGAGGATCGCGCAGCATCGACAATGCATCGCCGATGCATCGGAGATGCATCGGCGACGTCGGCGTGGAGGGTGTCAGGCTCCGCATCGTGCCGCATCGCCGATACATTGACGAGCCGGCGCGATCCTCCGACCCCATCCGAGAGACCCAGTGAACTGGACGAGGGGACGACGAGAGGACGACCGCAGGACTGTAGATCCTGGGCTGGGTCGGACGACGCTAGGGCGATGGGCCGACGAGAGGAGGACGAGAGGACGGCAGTCCCCAGGCTCGACAGGAAGGGCGACGGGGTGATAGGCTTAGGTCGGGCGTGTGAAGCCAGGACCCCTTCCCGACCTGGTTATGCAGGGGTCCTGGCTGGGGGTGGGGGTGGGTTTGGGGGGCTCTTGGGATGCAAAACCACCCTCACCCCCAACCAGGACCCCCATGACCACCAGGTCGGGAGTGTGGGTCCTGGCTGGGGGTGAGGGTGTTGTGCTGTCCCCGTTCCCCGCATGTCGTCCGACAGTCTCGTCTGCAGCTCCTCTGCTCAAACTTCTTGCCACATGTGCCGACAACCTCTTTGCTGCAGACGGCTGGTCTGCGCCGCACAGCCGCACAGAGATCGCGAAGTGGGGGGGAACGAGAAAAGAGAAGGGACTGGCGAGGCAAGCGCAATCCAACCTAATGGCGCCGGTCACTGGCTGAAAGACTCCTGTCAAGTGAGGGCCACAACCGTGACAGGAAGCAGCCCTGGCCCGCTCCTCTGGAGGAGGAGAGAAAAGCCACGGACAAAAAATGTGATGGTCCGCGTGGATATCTTGCATCCGCGCTGGACCCCCCACCCTGGCGCGCGGAGCGTGCCGTGGGGGAGGCGCCGCCAAGGGGGTCCGAGCGCCGATCGACGAAATCCGCGCGGACCGCTGGTTGCGTGTAGTTATGCAGGTTTCTTCCCCTCTGAAGGAAGCAGCCCTGGCCCGCTTCCCTTCGCTCCCTCCCAGACCGTGCGCTCGACTTTGGGCGCCAGAGTGCGCCGCCGAGCGACTGAAGGCCGCGTGGGCCTTCGAGCGCGTCGCGGTCGCTTCGGGGCGCCTTTCGCCGCGGCTGCCAGCTTGGTTGGCGCCACGGCTGCCGAGGGTGGACCTAAAATGGCACACGCGCCAGACAGCTGGCACCCCGCAAACCCCGCAAAAGGCAGATACGCTACAGCCATCGTGCGACAAGAAGGAAAGCTGAAGAGGGAACGAAGAGGCTTTTCTAGCCAATGCGAGCCTAGGCCACTGACAGGTTCCCCAGCCTAGATGTCCGGGACCCGCAACAGAGCCCCTACTGAGCCTACAGCGGCTTCTATTTCAGCGTATTGGCTGTAACTTGTTTGCCCTCCACCCCCTCAATATGATCGCGTGTCCACTCCCTTTTCGAGTGAGTCGGTATGGCCCTGGGTTTGGATTCGCCAGAACCGACATGGACAAGTCCTGAAATATTGCCCTGGCCTTGGCAAACTCAAGGAAGCGATCTGCAAAAGAACAGCGCGTCCGCAAGAACAGCCTCGTGCAGGAAGCTTCCGTGCTTTCAATGAAAGCCTCTGCAGTGAGCGCTCCAGCGCCGTCGTCCATAAGAGCAAACAAGGACGGCACCACCACGAGCATTGACAAGGGGCAGAGGAAAGCCCCCTGTGGTGTGGTGTCGCTGGGCTTTGGGCGTCCCGCTCAAGCACCTCCACTCTCCAGCTCGGGTAAGCACCTTGGACCCCCTCGCTGGGGATGGACCTGCAGGTGTTGGCGTCGCGTATCCTTTACTCGGACGCCCAATGCATTCAACAGTCTTTGCGGCAATAACGCATAGGGGATGCAGAGCCGAGGGATTTGGGGGGAGGAAGGGGGGAGAGAAATGGCGAGGGGCAGATGGAGGCGGAGGGTAGGGTGAGTTGAGTTGTTGTGTGGGGTAAGGGTGAAGTCAAGGTCGCTACCATTCGCTACTCCCGATCGGCCAGGCGGAAATGTAAATAAATCTAGAACTTGGACTCTAGGACAAGGCCCTTTCCCCCTAGAGTAAGATTATCGCAGTTGCTGGAAGTGGTCTTGACACCCAGCCCTAAGGCCCTTACCAGACGAATCGCACCAATGCATGACTTGTTCGTGGTGCCCTCCCCAGGAGCAGTTGCGCCGTCACGCGCATGCCAGTGTACAATGATGCTGCTAACCCTTACAGAACCCCGTGCAACGTTCTGAATGATGAGTTCCTGCGCGCATATGGATGCTTGCGTTACCAGAGATTGATACAACATGCCACGTACCTTCAACATATACGCGTCGCATGACATTACTCAACAAGTAGTGTTACAGACATGCTACGAGTCAGCTGTGTGCGTATGTTGTCCGAACTCGTGAAGGCAAGCAATGGCTTGTGGGCGACATGGCGCGCGAATGTGGACCACATGGTGTGACTTGGCAAGGATGGTGCCCGTTTAGCGCTCGCGTGTGGCCTGCATGGTACTGTTTGGTGGGGATGGCGCCAAGTGGTGAGAAAGGGCGCATGGTGTCTGAGGGGGAGGGGATGAGGGTTCAGCTGGAGAGGGAGGAGGAAGGGGGCGAGGTGCGAGAGGGAGTGGGGCTGTAAGGGGAGGGGAAGGGCAGGAAGGTAAGAAGCCGGCAAGGGAGGGCGGATTGGAAGGTCGGAGTCAGGGAAGCATTGGGAGGCGAGGGAGGGGAAGACAAAGCAATAGGGACGGGAGAAGCGGACGAAAGGGAGAAGGAGAAGGAGGCCAAACCCCTGCTTGCCCTCCTCCCCCCTCCTCCTTTCGCCCTCCTCCTCCCTCCTCCTCCTCCTCCTCCTCCTCCTCCTCCTCCTCCTCCTCCTCCTCCTCCTCCTCCTCCTCCTCCTCCTCCTCCTCCTCCTCCCCCCCAGCACGAGCGGCGAACGTATCCAAATCTACGCTCTGGCGGTCTGGATTCCGGGGCGCGGTCCCGCCGATACGCGGTGGCACGGATGCGTTCCGCGCGGGGCATCCCTGAAAAAACGCCCCGTATCCGCGGTGTCGCCACCCAAGGATCCGGCCCGCGAGGCCGTGGATACGGATACAGTCAGAGCTGATAGTCCTCCGTGCCGGCTTCGAGCCCTGGAAAGGGGGCCCGATGTAAGGGCGAGGGAAAAGGGCAGACGGAGTGGTTCTCAGCGCAGCAGGGCCCGTCCTCGGGGGGCGGACGGCGGCCACTCCTCTTCATCCCCCTGCTCTCATCATCCTCCTTCCCCCTCATCCTCCTTCCCCCCTTCTCGTCCTTTTTACTCCTCTTTTTACTTCTCCTCCTCCCCCTCCGTCTTACCCCTCCCTCCTCCCTTCTCCACGTCCTCCTCAGTCTTCCCTCCCTCCCTCTCTCCGTCCTCCTCGGACCTCCTCCCTCCTCCTTCCTATTCCTCCCTCCGCCTCCTCCTTCCTGTTCCTCCCTCCTCCCTGCTCCCCGCCCTCCTCCCTCCCTTCTCCCTCCTCTCTCCGGCTTCCTCCCTCCTTCTTTTGAGAAATAAGCATTTTTGGGATTCCCAGATTCCAATCTACTTTAGCCGCCTTCCTACTTCAAGAGTCGAATGTTCTTCCCTTTCCCTCCTCTACAAGAGGCGGGCGGACAACCAATTTTCTCGCCCTCTCTCTCTCTCTCTCTCTTTCTCGCAGCGCCGCCGGGCATTCCCGTCGGCGCTCGCGCGCCCGCGGCCCCCCCACCACAGCGAGCGGCTGGTCCGGCGCGAGTCCGGCCCCCCCCACAGGCGCAATCGGGCGACCCTTTCCAGAGGGGGCGGGAGAAGAGGAAGGATAAATAGGCATCGTTCGTGGACATGTCGCGGGGGCTCCCAAGCCACCACCGTGTCAATGTTGAGCTACACTGTCAATGCCTCGCTCTCCTGGGTCGTTGCTGCGTTCCTGCTCGTTAACATTTGCCACGCGTGCGGAGCTACACTGTCAATGCCGCGCTTTCATGCCGATTTGCTGCGTTCCTGCTCGCAACGCGCACCGCCAGAGGCGGTGCAAGCTTGAGATCCACCTACACACAGGGAAGATAGATAGGCATCAATTTACGGAACAGGGGCCGGGAGATAGTCGGAATGCACCAACAAAGCGCACCGCCGCGCGCATCATGGTGCGAGCATCGCACACTGCGTACACTCGTGGTCCCACTAGCTCCGACGATAACATCAACTGCCATCAGACTCATCAGACGCCCATGACGCGCGTACATACGTCAATGAAGTGGCAATCGATCCATGTGGGCACCCGCATGATTACAGCGTGTAGCTACGACGCATAGCGGACCAACGTGTACCGCGCCGACTGTCGGATGCGAAGAGGCTTTAAGCAGGTGCCGCTGCCACCCGATGTGTCGCACCTTTTGCAACGCAAGGCACGCAATGCGTTGCGACAGGCTTTGTATTACCCAGAAACGGCGCGCGCATTTTCTTACGGACTTCGCACGCCACCAATGCGAAACATATGGACTACGCCAGCACTTGGGCCACCAAAACAAATAAAAGAAAAGGGGCCCAGCCCAATCGCCCTCGAAGGCGCCCGCTGTTCGCGGGGCCACGGGAGCCCCGACGAGGGCCCCTATGTACCCTGACGTATAATCTTCGAGCCAAAACACGCTGGCCTCTGGGGGGGCCGCTAGGGTCTCAGCCAAAAAAAGGCGCCAGTCGGGTCAGCCAGTCGGACCCCGGCGCGGCTCGAGCAAACGACATGCAAGTAGGAACTCTTGCATCCCTTGCGGATGTGGGTCAGCCATGGCTCAGGCGTGGTTTAGGCGTGGTCAGGCTTTTTCAAGCGCAGTTCAGCCGTGGCGCGGGCGAGACTCCAACAACCGAAATTCAAGTTAAGAGCTCTGGCGTCCGTGTCAGGCGTCATTCAGTCGTGGCTCAAGCATGGCTCAAGTGTGGTTCAGGCGTGGGTCAGGCGTGGTTCGCGCGCGGTTCAGACGTGGCGCGTGTGCGACGAATGGAACCCGGATGCTAGTCGGAACTATGGCATGCCTTTCAGGCGTGGTGCAGCCATGGTTCAGGGTTGGTTCAGGTTTGGTTCAGGCGTTGCTCAGGCGCGATTCATCCGCAGCTTGTGCGAGACCCGAGAAAGCGCACTGCAAGTAGGAACTCTGGCACGCGTTTACATGGATCAGCCGTGGTTCAAATTTAGTCCACGCATGGTCCAGACACGGCTCAGGTGTATGTCATGCGCGGCTCAGTCATGGCGATGGCGCAGCCCAAGCAAGCATAATTTAATTAAGAACTCTGGCGTGCGGCTGAGATGTATTTCTGGAGTGGCTCAAACGTGGTTCAATAGTGGTTCAGGCGCGGTTCAAGGGTGGCTCACAGGCACGATTCGGCCGGAGCACGGGCGCGGCTCAAGTCCACGAAATGCGAGCAGGATTTCTGCCAGGCGCTTCAGGCGTGGTTCTGCCATGGTTCAGGCGTGGTTCAGGTGTGGTTCAGGCGTGGTTCAAATAAGCTTCATGCGCGGTTCAAGCGCAGCGCGGGCGCGACTAATGCAAACGAGATGGGATCGGGAACCTTAGCGTCCGTTTCAGGCGGGGTACAGCCGTGGTCCAAGCGTGCTTCAGGTGGTTCAGGCGTGGTTCAGGTGTAGTTGCAGGTGCGGTTCAGCCGCGGCGCGGACGAGACTCGAGCAAACAAGCTCCAAAGAAGAACTCTGGCATACATGTCAGGCGTGTTTCAGCCATGTTTGAAGCGTGGTCTGGGGATAATTCAGGCGTGGCTCAGGCGCGGC